CAGTTTTTAAGGCTAAAGTCACCTGGACAAAATATGCTGAACCATCGTTGACACTTATGAACGTTCTTAACATTTCCGTAAACTTCTTTGTGGCTACAGAAGCGTAGTTTCCCTTCTTATATTCAAACAATATTACATGCCGAATGTGTGTCTCGTCGTGTGCCATCACTGTATGGGATTAGAGTATGCTAAACTTTACACATTATATAGGCTACACTAACGTGACGTTTAGGCGGTTCGTTTAACTATAATATGTGATGTACGTTTTTTAGGGGGTGGTTAATGAAAGTGTTCCAAAACGCGACATTATTTTCTTGACGACCTAATACTTTAGACTTTACATCCTTTAACAAGACAAATCATTCTCCTCCATCTCTGTTATTACGATAGAATATGTGACATTTACTCTAGAGTGGTTAAAGTGACACACAGTTTAACTTCACTTTCACTAACTTAACTTTCTTACTTGGTCGCCTATATATATTTGTCGACTGAGGCCTATAACTCTTTACAACTTACTAGACTTTATAATGTAATAATACTCACTTAAAGCAACGAGAAGAACAATTTACAACAACTGAACTACGCAACAAATGATTCGTAAATAGTCATGTAAGTAAGCCTGAGATATCTATCACTTCTAAAAATAACTTACTCTAACATTCGCTATGTAAACAATCTAAATCATAACGTTCACATTAGACTTAAAAATGGTATACCTAACAACACTCAGTCAGGTATGTCCAAAACATCCAGTCAGGTATATCCAACAACACTTAGTCAGGTATATCCAACAACACTCAGTCAGGTATATCCAACAACTCTCAGTCAGGTATGTCCAACAACACTCAGTCAGGTATGTCTAACAACACCCAGTCAGGTATGTCCAACAACACTCAGTCAGGTATGTCCAACAACACACAGTCAGGTATGTTTAACAACACCCAGTCAGGTATATCCAACAACACTCAGTTAGGTATATCTAACAACACCCAGTCAGGTA